GTTAACACAGTCTGCTGTGAAGTTACACACGTTAACACAGTCTGCTGTAAAGTTACACTCATTAACACAGTCTGCTGTGAAGTTACACATGTTAACACAGTCTGCTGTGAAGTTACACACGTTAACACAGTCTGCTGTGAAGTTACACATGTTAACACAGTCTGCTGTGAAGTTACACACGTTAACACAGTCTGCTGTGAAGTTACACATGTTAACACAGTCTGCTGTGAAGTTACACACGTTGACACAGTCTGCTATCAAGTTACACACGTTGACATATGCATTGCTGTGTTAACACAGGCTGATGTGCAACGTTGACACGTGTTGATTTGTAGTTACACACGTTGACGCATGCACTAGCGTGTTAACATGTATGTATTGACACATGGGTTGACACGTGTTTACGCATTCGTCAATGCCTAATTTTGACACGTTTGCGGTTACAATCACGCAATACAATACAAGCGCTATGCAGTGTGCCACGTGGAGGCACCACCAGCCTAGCATCACATGCCAGGGGGCACCACAGGATCCTAGCAGTGCACAGCAAGGTAGCGCCACTGTCAGGAAACCGGCGACGACGGCAAGCAAATACTCCTAGCCGGCGCATGCCGTCATTTAGCGAGCGGTGGTGGCTCCTTCTGGTGGACGGCTCGCTTGGCGAGCTTCAGCAGCGTGTCAAAGTCCACGTCGCCGCCACCGCCGCCGCTGCCGCCGCGCGACTCGGACACAGAGGGCGCCGCCGTGTAGTCCTCGTACTCCTCCGGCATGTTATCTGTGGACGGCGGGAAATAAAGCTGAACGGCGGGAAATAAAGCTGAACGGCGGCCGCAGGAAATAATTACGTAATTACAACCACAATCTTATCTCAGCTCCATCTCGGAGTCTTCTGCTAATTTCCTACAGACAACGGGAAATTACTGCCTTGTACAATCTACTCGCGCAAACGTCGCATTTATCATTTATCAAGTCGTCGGCGATGCAAACAATTCCAGAGACACACACGCATTAAGCACGGCCGTCACAGGAAACTCTCTGCCGATGATTTAATAGTCGAGACATTGTCATAGCAACATTGATGAAAGAAACGATCATTTACTAATGGACTAATTAATATCGGATCTCATTAGAAACCGGAGACACTGGCGCCATTATGGAGGGATGTTGCTGTGCAAAGAGTTTATCTTAATAAACTGCATGCTGTGTACATCCGGCCTATTCATTATGCGGGAATAGTAAAGAAACAAACACCAGCCAGCATTCAGCTTGCAGAGAGTCTAATATAGTGCAGAAGCTTTTGTAAGAATTTTGAATTTTGGGGTAAGGGGAAGAATAAGTAGGGGTTTCTGTACTTTCCATTTCTTAATTATTGGACCCTGTGATTTTCAGAACCAACGGGTTCCATGTTTGAATTTGACAGGGATGAGAATGGCCAGAATGTCGGTCGATGAGAATGTCGGGTGCAAGGGGCGAAGCCCCTGCGGGGGGATTCGGGGGGATTCGGGGGGGGAGGGGGGGGTGAAGCCCCCTGAAGCTGAGAGACAATCACATAATTATGGCATCATTTTGACCCTATCTTATAATTACAGAATTTTTCTGGGAGAAACAAAAAGGGTAGAATGGTAGGAATAAAATAGCAATGCCAACCAACCTAAATCTAGTGACACCGAATTGGCAATGGAAATCTACCTAGTATATCTACTAACAGAGAACTGGCAATGGGAAAGCAGATAAATATACTGGCAAAGGGAACCTACCTAAATCTGCGTATCTGCTGCCACAGAAATGGCGCCTTCCTCCGAAGCACAGGTCGTAGTTTGGTTCACCGGGATCATTATTTCCTTCTGTAGAGAGAATGAAATGTGAGTAGATGATACATTTTCAGCAGATAGCGCTCACACGCAGGTGGCACGCGCGACTTGTAATGCAAGAAATGTCTAGTTTGATGTTAGTTACCTTAATGAAGCCCCTATGTGTTTCTCTCTGGCTGAAGCTAGCTAGCCTCCCTACCCCTCACATGACAGAGCTAACCATATATGTCACTTACTATAAATACATCATGCACATACAGCTTTTAACATGTCCATCACACCAAGAACTTTCAAGAGATTGTCGTGCCTGCCATTTTAAAAGCAGGAAGAACATTCGTGATTACTCATACCTTCTATAGCTGCAAATGCATCACACTTGTATGAGAACGTCACAAATCCATAGTTGTCCCTGAAGCAGAGCAAGGGACACAGTGAGGGCACAACACTCAGCCACAAGAGGCATACACCACCACACACAACATAGCACGCACACACATACACCCACACTGCATTTCTCAAAAACACACAGCCCTGCTTGCACGCACACACACTACAAAAGTACAATGTCCCTTGTAATCTAACACACACATACACATGCACAATATCATGTCACCATAAACTATCACGCGCGCACACACACGCACGCACGCCTGCACGCACACACACATATCATTATGTCACCATATTCTAACACACATGCACACGTACCCATCCTCACGGAAATGCACGCTGACTTCCTCTATTGGGCCGAACCGACTAAACCTCCGCTTCAGATCCTTGCGCGTCGTGCCATCCTTTATTCTTCCCACGTAAACAATTCTCCGCTCTTCCTACAGGGTTCATGCACGCAGAGAGGGGCAACGTGTTAGAGGAACGCGAGAAAATACAAATGCACCCCACAATGTATCGCTGCACAGCACATATACTATACAGCGCTGAAGAAACACAAGACTATATACTGTAGATACGCAGATTCTATTCCTCTGTAGAGACACACACTCGGTGCACTGCAGCAACGGTCAGCTCGCTATTGCGTTATAAGTTCGACCCCCCCCCCTCTTCGTAGCCAAGTCGAGCATCTCTCGCACGCCACCACTCACTATCTCTCGCACTCACAATCTGCCGGGCTTTCTCCTTCTCCTTCCAGCTCCAGAAGCGGTCGCGCTGACGACTCGCCTGCTGCGGCCGCTCGCGCCGCTTCTCCAGCCTGCGCCTGTCCTCGTCGCGCCTCCTCTGCCTCCTCCTCCTCCCGCCGCCGTCGTCCCTGCTGCCCGCCAGCCGAGAGCGCGACCTGTCGTCACGACGACCACAGATTAGCTCAAGCTTCACCCACGAGATGTTTCACTCGCCACGCTATCGTTAGGCAATAGGCATAGCCGAGACCCACGTACGACCAACGTGGCGGCACGTACCATTGACCGCTACCCACTAGTCGAAGCTGCTATCAAGTCTCTAGTTGTAGCTATCAGAGTGTGTAGCTACAATGTGTAACCAGTGCCGTATGTGTAATAATAAATACTGATGCATGATACTGACATATACGATACATACGGTGGTTGTGCATCGTGTTTGCACTGTCATCACACCCACCCACTGATGATATCCACACACAATAACCGGATAGTGCGCTGTCACCGCGCTTCCATGCTAACAAACGAGGGCTTACATCATGGCTGACCCAGAATCGGGCTGCAGGGTTCTCCAAGCTTTTTCATTATAGCATGGGGGTGCTGCCTTTACGGTCCTAGTTGCAAATCGCCGAAGGCGGTTTGCGTGCTAGGGGGGTCCGGGGCTATGATATTTAGAGTGGCGGGTGCATTTTATGATGGCGGGGCTCGACGATAGCCTGGCAGGCCACCTAATAAGTGCTCTTGGAGAATCCTGGGCTGGAGTGTGTTAATACAAAAGTTCGACCCCTGCACTGACCAATACAGCGAGCAAATGACATCATCACGTATCAATAGATGACTGATCAATAGCAACCAGCGACGTATGTTAATCTTTCTAATTTTAATGAAAGTGTCAATGACACTGTAGCTCACCTTGGGTGTGATAGAAGAAAGAGGAGAGATATATAAAGCAAGAGTATATATGGGAGAACTCCCATTATATAGCATATCTGCCATTATATACTCTTGATAATGATATATCCATAAGTTTTGATGCGAAAAATAAATGTTTCAGATCTGAAAGTCTGAAATCTTGACAAGAGATGGCGCTACGCCTAAATGATCGCTATTTTGGTTTATGAATATCGCACAAATAAAAACAATAAAATGTCCCAGTCACATTATTGCAACGAAGAATCTAATACACGTATATAGGTATAATTGTAGTTGTTGACCAGTTTGACAACATAATAGGATGTTGTCATCTCTCCCATATGAGTAACAACTGTTTTGGGGCTAGCCTTACACATTCACATACCAAAATTTAACAAAATTGAATGAATTTAGATGGCCATTTCATTTTTTGCCAAAAAGTGGGCATGGCTCGAAAGTAGGTCGACTGGCGAGCTCCAAAATAGGACGTTCAAACCTCTCCCATAAGAGTAAAACTGTATTCAATTTGAAACATGTGGGTCAAACTGTTCTTGAGTTATCGTTGACCGTAGCCAAATGTTGACGGACGAACGGACACGTACGACACCCCATGGCAATAGTTCATCTTGCCGATGTCAAGGCGAGCTAAAAACCAACACTTGGCCTATCCTAAAAATATATTCGACGTCCCGCGTCAATGTCGCCTCGCATCAAAGTCGCCCCATGTCAACATCACCCCCCCCCCCCCATCC